CTAGGAAGACGAACAACCCAATTAAAAAATGGGCAAAGGACTTGAACAGACACTTCTCCAAGGAGGACATAGAAGATCCAAAGACACATGAAACAAACAATGTGCAATATTGCTAGCTATCAGAGAGATGCAAATTAAAACCACAATGAGATACCACTTCACACCAGTCAGAATGGCCATCATAAACAAAGCAACAAACAACAAGTGTTGAAGAGGTTGTGGAGAAAAGGGGACCCTAGTGCACTGTTGGTGGGACTGCAGACTGGTACAACCACTATGGAAAGCAGTATGGAATTTCCTCAGAAAATGAAAAATGGATCTGCCTTTTGACCCAGCAATTCCACTGCTGGGACTACATCTTAAGAACACTAAAACACCAATACGAAAGAACCTTTGCACCCCGATGTTCATAGCAGCACAATTTACAATAGCTAGGTGCTGGAAGCAACCTAGATGCCCATCAGTAAATGAATGGATCACAAAACTGTGGTACATTTACACAATGGAATTCTATGCAGCAGAAAGAAAGAAGGAGCTCCTACTCTTTGCAACAGCATGGATGGAGCTGGAAAGCATTATGCTAAGCAAAACAAGCCAGGCAGTTACCATATGATCTCACCTTTAACAGGAACCTAAACAAGAAAACAAAGAAACAAGCAAAATATAACCAAAGACACTGAAATAGAGGAAAGACTGACAGTGACCAGAAGGGAGAGGAGAGGGAATTTCAGGGGAGAATGGGAAAGGTTTACAAGAACAAATTTAAAGGACACATGAACAAAAACTAGGGGGAGGGTGGTAATGGGAGGGAAGTGGGAAGGGTTGGGTGGGTAGGCTGGAATGGGAGTAAAAGGGAGAAAACTGTACTTGAACAATGATTAAAATAAAAAAATAAAATATAAAAAATAAAAAATTTAAAAAATTAAAAAAGAAATTAAGAAAACAATTTCATTTATAATTGCATCAAAAACAATAAAATAATAAAATACTTAGGGATAAATTTTATCAAGGAGGTCAGAGCCCTGTACTCAGAAAAGATACCACAAAAAGAAATTAAAGAGGATACAAATAAATGGAAGGCTATACTGGGCTAATGGTGAGGAAGAATTGACATAATTAAAAATTCCATACTAGTCAAAGAAATCTACAGGTTTCAATGCAACCCCTATTTAAATGCCAGTGGATTTTTCACAGAACCAGAAAAAAAAATCCTAAAATTTATATGAAAACACAGAAGACTCCAAAAAGCCAAGGCAATGTTAAGAGATACAAAGTTGGCAGTATCATGCTGCCTAGTAGCAAACTGTACTACAAGTGTATAGTAATCAAAACAGCATGGTATTGGCATGGAAAAAAAGACACATAGATCAGTGGAACAGAATAGAGACCCAAGAAATAAACACATGCCTATATGGTCAATTACTATATTTTGCCATGTATAATGTGCACCCACATTTTTGGTCCAAACTTCCAGGAAAAAAACTTTCATTTTAATTCAATTATTTATATACTTATATTTAGAAACAAAACCAATTATCATATTCCACAGTATTATTTTGCATATGAATGTTGTTATTGCTTTCTAGAGTTACACTTTTAATGCATAAACATAAATAAAGGAATTAAAAACATATAGATACAGAATTAGTAGTACCCATTTATAATGGGCATCCTTATTTTGCCCTAAAAATTTTGGGTAAAAAAGTACACATTATACATGGCAAAATACAGTAATTTATCAATGGGAAAGCAAAAATATGTAATAGGGTAAAGACTGTCTTTTTAATACAGTGTTGGAAAATGTGGAGAGATACATGCAAAACAATAAAACTGGACCATTTTCTTAAAACCATGTACAAGAATAAGTTAAAGGTGAATTGATTTAAATGTGAGACCTAAAACCACAAATAAAAGATAGGCAGTAAACTCTTGATATCACACTTAGTAATATTTTTGGGGATATGTCTCCTTGGGCAAGGGAAAGAAAAGAAAAAGAATAAACAAATGGGATTACATCAAATTAAAAAGTTTTTGTAAAGCAAAGGAAACCATCAACAAAAAGACAACCTACTGGAAGAAGATATTTGCCAATGACTCATCAATAAATGGTTAATATCCAAAGCATATAGGGAATTTCTACAGTGAAACACACACACACACACACACACACACACACACACACACACACACACAATCCAATTGAAAAATGGGCAGAAGTCCTGAGTAAACATTTCTACGAAGAGGATAAAGATGGCCAATAGACATATGAAAAGATAAGATGCTCAACATCACCAGTCATTAGGGAAATGTGAGTTAAAATCACAGTGAGGTATTACTTCACACTTGTCAGAATGATAATCATCAATAAATCAAGAACATGTTGGAGAGAATGTAGAGAAAATGGAACCCTTTTGCAGTTTTGGTGGGAATGCAAATTGATGAAATCACCATAAAAATCAGTAAAGATGTTTATGTTCCTCAGAAAAATTAAAAGTAGAACTATCATATGACCCAGGAATTCCACTGCTGAGTATTTACCCAAAGAAATCTAGAATACTATGTTCACTGCAGCATTATTTACCATAGCCAAGATATGGAAGCAACCTAGGTGTTCATCCATAGATGACTGATAAAGGAGAAGTTGTACATATGTACAATGGAATGTTATTTAGCCATAAAAAGAATGAAATCCTACCATTTGTGACAACATGGCTAGACCTCAAGGGTATTATGCTAAGTGAAATAAGTCAGACAGAGAAAGACAAATACCAAATGTTTTCACTTACATATGGAGTCTAAAAACCTACCAACCAAACAATGAAACAAAACAGAAACAAACAGAACAAACTGATGGTTGCCAGATGGGAGAGGTGTATGGGACATGGATCTAAAAGGTAAAAGGATTAAGAAATACAAATTGCCAGTAATAAAAACATCATAGGGATGCAAAGTATAGCACAGGAAACAAAGTCAATAAAATTGTAATACTATGTATGGTGTTAGATGGGCAATATACTTATCAAGGTGATCACTTCATAAGTTATATAAATATCTAATCACTGTTTTACACCTCAGTCTAATGTAATATTTAATATAAGCTGTAATTTAAAAAAGTTCAATAAAAATGATGTAAGTATAATCTTTAAAAAAGATAAAGGAGTCTTCTTTTCTCCCCCAGAGAAGATTTGCTTATACACTAGAGTAAAGATGTGGTCTTTTCCAGATGAGAGGATAGGCAGATCACTCGCAGACCTATTTTCATCAAGTTTTTTAAACTCAGAGTTCTTCTTTTGCAATACCACTACATGTACAGGTACCATCTGTTCCTCAACATGTTACTTTCTTGGGTCTGAGGCTCAGGGAAGTGATGCAAGATGTTGCTCTAGCTGCTGTTTTGTTGTCAATAGTTAATTATCTTTGTTTCTTACCCAGAGGCCAGTTTGCTGTGTGTGTGTGTGTGTGTGTGTGTGTGTGTCTGTGTGTGTGTGTGTGCCTGTGTATGTGTGTGTACACACACACACACACACACACAAGTATGGCAGGTAACTAGCTTATAAGAGGTGAATAATCTCAGACCCTGCACAGTTTCTAACTTAAACAGTTGCCCCTTGATAAATTCTTCAAAAGAGTAGAATAATCAATAAACATGGGAAAATAGTGCTATTCAGCTAGTGAAACTTTATTTCACTGATCCCTGGGACTTGTTCTCTTAGTTTAGACTTAGGCAGACTAGGATATTGGAGGCAAAGTAGTTTCCAAAGATTTTTAAAATAATAATTGTGATTGTTCTTATCTTTTTCCCTTTCTTTGACATCTAATATGCATGTATTTAAATGTTGTCACAAAGCCATTATGCTGGGGCACTATTCAAATTATAATCTGTTTCATAAGGAGGCTGAGGCACTCAAGGTCAGTCAGTCTGCTGGGGGGCTGAGTTTGACCAAAAAGGTGGAATTAATAAATTCTAACAAGACAAAAATGGTACAGACCTGGAATAACCAATTAGAAGTATTCCCAAATAAATGATAATACAAAAAAATGTCATATATGTCACAAATTAAAAAGCTCAGGTCTTCTGGAGAAGCCTTAAATAACCAAAACTGATTTACTTGGTAATACACAAAGCTCCCAAGAGCAAACATCCTGATTTGTCTCATTACGTCTTACACAATGAAAATAAAATACTAAATTCATTATTTATATAGTGTCTCTGGGTTTTCTTTCTTTGATTTTTCCTTTTTCTCACATATAGATTGTTTTTGTATTTGTTAGATAAGATAAACTTATTATTGCTTCACTTAGTATTCAAGTAAATAACATGGTAATAATTAACTATGTCTTCAAGTTATCCTTTAACAGATGGCAATAAAGTACTGTTCTTTCTAGCCCTGGCATACCCCACTATCTTGTGTTGTTTCTCTAGATCCTAGATAAATAATCCATTTATTAAAAACTCAAATTATCCTATCTTGAATATGTCATGTGTATCCTGCTCTGAATGTAAAAGATACATTTTATATGTACTAATACATTTAACCTTCTCAACATTTTATCCTCATTTTACAGATAAGGAAACAAAGCACAGAAATTTAAGTAACTTTCCTAAGGTCAACAATTAGAAAGAAGCAGAATGAGGATCTGAATTCCAAAGAATCTGACTTTAGCATTCAAAATGAAACACAAGGAGAAAAACAATATTAAACAAAACCAACAAAATTGTGTAAGTGTAGAAGTATACAAACAAAAAATTATAAGTGTAATAACATCCTAACAACTTGCCAACAACATTAAAAGTGGAAATACTATCACAAGTTTGACATCAAGAAAGAACAAATAATCATAGCTTATGTTTAAATAATTATTTTTCTTATACCATTTTTATCAAATAAAAATCCAGGTAAGGGCTTCTTTCTATATTTAAGTATTTTAAAGGAAATATTTAAATATATCAAACATATTAGGTAAATAATAACAATTAGAAAGAACATTTAGCTACTTACATTCCATATGCTGAGTTTACAGCAAGACTAGTAATCTGTTGAGGGGGTTCACCGTCCACCCACACCAACTGAATAACGAGTTCTGCTTGATACCCTGGAGGCATCCGCACTGGCCGTGTCTTAACACTATTAGGGAGAAAAAGTAAATCTGTTAATACAGTTTAAATAACTATGTTCATACTCACCTTCATAATTTACATAGAATCTTCCTACAGAAATATACAACCCTAGGCATTAAGAACATTATGCAGGTGGACAGTGTGTTCTAGCTTTCTCAAAGTACAATAACCTACTTGTGGTTGCTTAGTCTTTTCTTTAAGTAGCTGTTTTGTCAGTCAGGCCCACAACTTCCACTGGTCTTTATCACTTTCTTTTTTTTCTTTTGAGAATAGTATTTTAATTATTTATTTTTCTTATGAAATATTTGTTACCTATTTTAAAATTAAAATGAATAAAAATAAAAAAGAATAACTTAATCTACTGCTCAATGTAAGATCCTGCTCTCTCTTTTAAAATTTGCTCCACCTGCACCTTCTCTACTCCAGTTAATAGCAACTCCTATTTTTCTAGTTATGTAGTTAAATAAAAATCTTAAAATGATTCTTAATATCCTTCCCTCATACCTCACAGCCAATAAATTATCAAATAAATGCTGATGGTGTTACCTTAAAAATATATTTAGAATATTATCCCTTTTTACTTCCTTACTGCTAATACCCTAGTTATATTTGACAAATAAAAATACTGGATATCCATTAACATATGACTTTCAAATAAACAATAAATAAGATTTTTTTACTGTATATATGTCCAATGCAATATTTGGGATATGCTGAAACTAAAAAATGCTCATTGTTTATCTGAAATTCAGATTTAAATGAATATTCTTTATTCATTTAATTCCAGTCATCTTTATTCATTTTTATTCTATTTTTAATTACTAAATCTGCAAGCCCTCAATATCATTTCTAGTTAGGTGCAAACATCCTCCTTACTGGTCTCCTGGCTTCTACTCTTTTCTCTCATCTCAAAATCCATTTTCAACATAGCCACCAAAAGTGATCGTTTAAAATTCACTTCTCTCTTCAAAACCCTATAATGACTCCCCATTTGATTAGGAATAAAATCAGTATCATTACACTGGCTTGCCATTGCCTATCTGACTTCATCTCCTACTATCTTCTCCACTAACCTCGCTCCCTTTGTTAAGGCCTTTGCTCTAGCTGTTCCTTCTGCCTAGAACACTCTTCCATCATGTATTCTTTAGCTAACTCCCTTACCTACTTTTTTGTTTGAATCTCACGCTCTTAGTGAGCGATAGGGTGACTATCCATTTTACACACTAGAAAGCACAAAGGCAAAAAAAAATCAATAATTGCACAAATATATGTATATTGATAAAAATTGTGACTTTGCTAAAAATGAAGAATTGGCTTGTTCAAATGTTTATTTATCAGCTAATGTATATAGTAATCTAAATCCAGCAAAGGAAAAGTGGTTTAGGGATGGATGCTAACATACAATTTATCAAAGCATAGATTATATGCAACTCAAAAACCATTTGTAATATAATATAATTTACAGAATAATATTCTTAGATCAGTTCTGCTGCTTGGTTCTTAGGACCTTATTACATACAAAATATAAGATTATACTGTTTTTTTTTTCACTTTGATTCTCTTGATTATCCTTAAGATTATCTATACTACTTTTCAAGTCAACATTAAATTCTTCTATTATGCTTTAATGTTACTGCTTACTTCAGCTCCATGACCAAATTTTTGTTGTTTTAACTGTTTTTCTCTTATGTCTACCTTTTATTTTTTTTAATTTTATATAAAAATATTTAGATCACTCAAAGACCCACACTTTATTGATAGGTCATGTTAGTTAGCAAACAGTACTTTCTTGAGCTTTGCTGAGCTTTTTGTTCTGTTTCTGGTTTTCATTTTAATAGAAATCAATTAAATGAAGCAAAGTGCTATGAAGGGAAAATTGAATATATAGCATTAAAACATTATGAATGTTTTCCATTTGCTGAAATTTTATGATGATGCTTCCTCTTTGTAGATTTTTCTCCCTGTAAATCCTGCTTTTATTTTCATTTTGTACTAAACAAGAAAATTTTTCTGGAGGAAAAATAATAATTACAAAAAATAGCAACTGCTAATTGTGTGGTAAACAGATTTTGCTTCTGAAATCTTATCTTTAAATTTTCCATAAGTGTTTTCATAAGAAGTGTCTAAAGTTCCTTTAGTAGCAGATTCAGATATTTTTGTATGAAGCTCATAGACATTTTTTGCTTAGGCTCAATTCTCCAACCAGCTAATATAAAACACATTTGGTTTGATGATAAAGAAGCAGTGAGTAATGATTTAAGGAAAGTACATTCTTTTATATTTGCTTATTAAAAAGCATAAAAACAATACAACAAATATTACTATGGGCTTGACTAACTTTAAGTTTTCTTTGCATATGACACCAAATTTGTTTAGATATACTGAGAAAACATAGTTTACTACCAAATAGCATCAGTTAAAAAAGAGAAAGACGTATACAGTATCCTACCAATCAGGAGAGAAAAATTCTTTTTTTCTAAAATAGTATTGTTACAGTAGATAATAAACTTGGTTTCTTTTCAGTTCTAAGAAGGCTAAAGAATTTCCCTTAACATACATTTCCATTTTGGAAATACCAAGTAAGTGACCATGTTTTTGTCTGGACAAAAGTTTTCCCATTTTATCATAGCTATATTTTCTCTAGGGTGTTTCTGGGAAGGAATACAGGAATTAGCAAGTGAAGGATGAAAATATTGTACCCTCTTCAGGGATATTCAAAGATAATATCAGGGTACCCTATGGGAGATTGTAGATCACTTAGTAACAACTTAATAAGAGAGAAGGATGATTTTATTTAGCTCAGTTTAAAATAATTACATGATTAATATGTAAAATTGTTTTAAAATGTGGTAGCAACTCTTACTTGAGACATGGGATACTGTCCTTTGTTACTCCCTCACTAGACACAGTGTTAGTGCTCCCAGAAAGACTCCTTGAAGAAGGAAGCTGAGACGAGAGATCTGGAAATGGAGGACTTGTTTCTGGTTCTGGGGTAATAATGTCTTCAACATCATACTGAAGTCGAACCTCTAATGACTTAAAAAGAACAAGTTTAAATTAATCTAAGTCACGATAACAAATAATCACATTAAAATAGTTGATAATTTTAGTAAGCATTATCTTTTTCTGATTAATAAATTTGATTTCTATTTATAGTAAGGCTGAGATATCCCAAACTGAATTAAATAATCATATGAAATATTAAGTTGTATTCACAAAAAGTGTAAAATACTTTTTAATTCTTCAGAATTTTAAGAAAAATACCTACCAGTGGAGATAAAGTATTTATAAAATAAATATTCCTTAGGATAAACTATAAATTACAATTCCATATATAATAAAATAAAGGTAAATATTGGTCATGTTTACTCCAGTGGAAAAGATTAAACTGATGTGTGTATTATGTGGTTTTTCTTTTATGGTTGTTCAAGTACAATTGTCTCCATTTTCCTCCCATCACTCTCCCACCACCCCACCCAACCCCACTTTCCACCCTCAATTTACAAATTGTTATTTGTACAAGGCTTTTTAATTTTAAAAAAGCTTCATTTAATTTTGACTTCAACTCAGTAATAATTTTCCAAAATAAATTTCATATTTCTATATGTTTGTTTCATTAACTTGGCTCTTAATTATTTAATTTCATTAGCTTGGTCAGAGTTACTTAATGAAAAAGAATATGATAATTTATATTAAAATAAAAATGTGATCTCAAAATCTTTTTTTAAAACTAAAATGTTTTTAAGTACTTTAGTATTGCATTTAATGCTTTATTAAAATTGATTTTGTAATAAACATTTGTTTTACAATGTAAAAATCAGCATTTTTGAGATTCAAAATAATTGTCTATACAAATGTCATTATGGGGTGGTGAATATAGCAATATTACCAAAATGACTATCATAATTATCTTAAAATTTATGAAAAACCTCCAGTGACAAAAATAATAGTTAATTATTGGGTACTTACTATACTTTGACACTATATTAATGATTTTATATAATAATCATCACAAGTACCCTATAAAATTGACATTTCCATTTCTAGTTTATTATTACCTTCCATTTCATTTACACAGGAAATTATATAGATGATGAAATTAGGCCTTACCCAGATTTACTCTTGACTAATAGAGTCACTAATAAAGCCAGAATTAAAATAAAACCTAGGCTTATCTGACTCCAAAGCCTGGGGTTTTAACTAATATACTTGAAAAGGGTAATGCTTTAGTTGCTGAGGTAAAAAAAAAGTTATACACATGCCTGGAATAGATAATCTTTACAGGCCTTTAGTAGACAATCTCTATTTTCTGATAAAATGGTGAAATGGCCTGGGTAGAGAAGGTCCATTACCTATAGGTGCCTTAAGTTAGATTTTATTTCTTTCATGAGAGTATAATTATTTTACATAAATTATTTCATTAGTTTAAAAATTAAGATTAGATAAGCTGACACCATAATTATTTCTACTCTATAAAAAATGTTAATATATAGAAAATCATTAAAAATAATATTATTATAATTGAGACAATCATATATAGCCATTAATTGACAAAAAGACAAACTTTAAAAAAATTAATAAAGGTACAAAACACAGCCTGAATTAATTGGACACTTACACATAAATCAATAACAAATCTGTATAAAACCTATAGGCATAATGCATCCCATTTAATAATGCCAAGGTTTTACAGAAAACTTTTTTTTGTCATTTTAAACCAAACTTTTAAAAATGTTATACTATATAAGAAGAAGAATTAAAAATCCTACGAATTGGATTATTGGCCACAGACTGCAGTGTTAATGGTTTAAAACCATACCAAGTATTAACCAAAATCTATGAAATTACTTTCCTTTAATTAAGTGTAAAGTTTAAATTTTGAATGACTTACCACTATTTCTGTTGTTACTTCATGTTTGCTAAATTTATAAATTATGACATATGCGGAGACTCCTGAAACACAGAATATTCTGCTCTCTGGACACCAGTAAATCATCTGAATGGCATATGGATCTTCCTCTACAATTTCACAGGTTTGTTTTCCTTCTCCTATCTTCTGTTTTTCAAACACTTTTGAAGTTTTTAGCTTGTACAGCATCTGTAGAGTTACTATAAGACATTGAAGGATAATTACCTTCTAATTTGAACTCAATTCTTTTTTTGAACTTAATTCTTAAATGTTGTTGAAGTTTCTTCAATATATTGGTTAAAAGACAAAAGACAAATAGATAAAATAAATTACATTTTAACCAGTAAGCATTCAATGTCATGCTCTTTTATCAGTACAGTTTACTTGAAGGAAGACTACAAGGAAAAATAAACACTTATTGAACATACACTATATACCAAGGAATAGGTAGGTCCTTCATATGCACAGTCTCATGTCCATGAAGCCCTGACTGGTGTGGCTCAGTTATTTGGGTGTCATCCCACAAAGTGAAAGGTTGCCAGTTCCATTTTTGGTTAGAGTACATGCCTAGGTTTTAGGTTCAGTCCCTGATGGATATTTCTCACTCACATTGATGTTTACTCTCTCTCTCCTTCTCCCTCTCTTCCTCGCTCTCTCTAATAATAAATAAATATATATATATTTAAAAAGTCCCATGAAGTATTATTCTCATTTATTCAACAGAAATGCTGGAGTTCAGAAAGTTTACAATGGAAATACTGAACCTAATTCTAAGGGAGGCCCCTCAATTTTTTCCCTAATTTTTCTCTTAGATTACTAGATGAGAAATTGGTACTATTCTTAGAGGGTTTACTCCTCTCAACAAATTTTTAGACATTCCTTCAGATGAGAAACACTTACAATATACCAGCCAGCAATACTGGGAATCCAATAAGCTGTGATTATGTTAGAAAGAATCTTTTCTGAATGACTGTGTTAGGAAAGAGTTAGTTATAATTTTAGGAAACCCTGGGTTTGTGAATTTTCAGGAATATTTATTTAGGAAGAATCTTTTCTGAATGGCTCAGTGTTAGGAAAGGGTCAGTTACAATTTTAAGAAACTCTGGGTTTGTGAAATTTCAGAAATATTTATTTAGGAGAATTTTCTTCCATTTTAAACCCTGACAATGACTTGTCTATGAGAAAGCTCTAATTCAACAAAGGATTCCTGACAAAAATTCTAAAAATTTGGGAGTTCTTGCCAAAAGTGTATAATCTGAACCTAATCATGAGAAGCATGAGTAGAACTCAAATTGGAGATTTTACAAAAGAAGTCAGCTGAACTCATCATGAACGTCTTTTTCATGAAATAAGAACTTGGGAACTGTTCCAGATTAAATAAAACTCAAAAGATATGATAACTAAATGCCATAAATGAGCCTAGATTTTCTTTTCTTATAAAAGATACTATGGGATGGGAGTAAAAGGCCAAAAACTGCACTTGAACAATTAAAATTTTAAAAAAGATATTATTGGGACAATTGGCAAAAACTGAATAAAATCTGGAGGTTAGATAATAATACCATATAAATATTAATCTCCTGATCTTAATCACTATAATTTATGTAAAAGAATGTATTTGTAGGAAATGTACATTAAGTATTTAAGGGCATTCAGTATCAGAAGAGCAGCATATTTGCAACTTAGTCATGAATGGTTATAAAAAGTTATGGGTTGTACATATTTACATAGTGTGTATGTAAATATGTAGAGGGGCATGAAAAGTGAATACTAATGGGATAAAAACACTTTTCCAATACCACAGAGTTAGGAGGTAAAAGGACATTCCTTGAACAGATGTAGCCTGACAAAGCTTGGTTCTTTTTCTAATGCACTTTTCTTTTACAATTTGCCTTTTATAAATATAATGGTTGGTGGTAAAAAATGACTTCAGTCCAGTTTATATTATAGAAGTACAGTAGAGATACTTTAAATTTATCTAATAATATAGGAAATGGGTTTTTGTAACACAACCATGCACATATGCTAAAAATGTAAGTGAAATGTTAATTGTCTGAACTAAAAAGTGGTGAATGGCTGGGAGTATATATAACCAAGTGTTTTTTGTTATAGAAGGAGAAAGGTAAAACTTACTTGCAGAAGCATCCCAAAATTTTATTGATCCATCTGCATGACTAGGCAAAAAACAAATTAGCATAAATTAAAGTATATTAAATAAAAATATCATTCTAAAAGTGTAAAACTTGAGTTAATGTTAAATTCAATTAAAAAATACTGTTTCAATGAAAACAAGTGTACACTAAATTATTTCTAAGCACAAAACAATAGTTTAAATATAAAACAATACATTAAAATCTAAACTTAAAAAGAAATAATAATTACTTAAATTTTACTCTAAGATTTTATTTTGTAATAGAGAGCAATTAAAACCTACCTATTGGAAAAAACAATATTTTTAACATAAAATTGTTTACATTAAATAAAAAGATACCCAAGGCAATTTAGATATTAAAATGTTTTTGAAATGAATATCATGGTGAAATTAAAGTTAAGCCTCAAATTACAAAAGTCAAATCCATAAACCTATCTAGAGTTTTATCATTATTTGGTAATAACATAATGGTAATTGTATGAGAACTCACTAAGAAAATAAAATAGGATAATACTTCCCAATACATTTTCTGAGGTCAGCTTTATTTTCAATCAAAACTAGAAAAAACCATTACAAGAAAATTACAAACCAATATTCTTCAAGCATGTGCATAAAAACTGTCAACAAAATATTAGCAAATCAAATCAAGATTCCGTCATACATCATGCATCACAACTAGGTGGGATTTATCCCAGGAATGCAAGGCCAGTTCAAAATTAAAAAAAAACTCAGTCATCATATTGTAATTCACCATACTGAAAGATTAAATACAACCAGATCATCTTAATAAATGAAGAAAAAACATTTGACAAAAATTTACCATCCATTCATTAAAAATAAAACCTCAACAATCTAGGAACAGGAAACTTCTTCAACCTGCTAACGGGTATCTAGCAACAACCCACAGATTCCACATGTAAGTGAAATCATACAGTACCTGGCTTTCTCTGTCTGACTTACTTCCCTTAGCATATTATCCTTTAGGTTCATCTATGTTGCTACAAATGGCAAGATTTCATTGTTTCTTATGGTTGAGTAATATTCCACTGTTTATGTGTGCTACATGGTCTTTATCCATCAATCTATTGATAGGCACCTAGGCTTCTTCCATATCTTGGCTATTATAAATAATGCTACAATGAACATAGGGGTGCTATACAGCTTCCCAAATTATTGTTTTCACTTTTTGTATAAATATGCAGAAGTGGAATTGCTGGTTCATATATATTTTAGTTCTAGCTTTAATTTTTAAAAAATATCCACACAGTTTTCCATGGTAGCTCACTAATTTATAATCCCTTTTTTAAACATCTTTACCAGGCCTTATCTGTCATCTTTTTATAATAGCTACTCTGACAGATATGAAGTGATATCTCATTGTAGTTTGAATTTGAATTTGATGATTAGTGGTGATGAGCTTAGGTTGAACATGCTTACACATCTTTTCATGTGTCTATTGGTCATCTGTAAGTCTTCTTTGCAGAAATGTCTATTCAGGTCCTCTGTCTTTTTAATTGTTTTTTTTTTATGTTGAATTGTATGAGTTCTTCCCATACTTTTGATATTAAACTGTTATCAGATATAACACTTTCTTTCATTCTTTTTTTCTTTTTTCCTCTGACTCTATAATTTCCTATTACCTATCTACTAGTTCACTGATTCTTTCTTCTGATTAAGTCTGAAGTTGAATGCTACTAATATATTTTTCAATTCCATTATTCTTCTACTCCAAATATTTTTCATTATTATAGTTTCTATCACTTTGTTTTCATTTTGCTCATGCCTTATTTTTTTAATTTTGTTTATTTGTTTATTTATATTCTTAGTGCCCTGCATTTTTTAAAGACAATTATTTTGAATTGTTTGTTAGGTAATTCACAGATCTCTGTTTCTTAATAGGACTAGAGATCAATTTCTGTAAGTTTATTTTGTACCTTTAATTACCTGTTTATTTGTTTGCCTTGTTATTTCTTGTTGGGAATTTGTCATTTGAAAATAAACCTACCACTTATGAACTGGCTTTGTACAGGGGAAGACCTTCACCAATCTGTCTAAGTAGAAATCTTTGGGCCTCACACCTTTAATGGAGATGTTTCTCCTCTGGGCCTGTGTGTGTAATTTCCCTATTAGAGAGGTTTGCTGGTTTTCTCCAGGAGCTTGTAGTCTCATGCTCCCACTATTGTCTGTCTTTAGTACTACAGGTTTTGGGGGAAGTTCAACAGCCACTGAGTTTTTTTTAAAAAAAAATTTAACATGTGAAATGAGTTTTATTTTCACCAAACATATGATAGTGTACATAGAAAACCCTATAGACTCCACCAAAAAACCACTCAACCTAATACATGAATTTGGCAAAACAGTGGGATACAAAGTCAATGTCCAGAAATCAAAGGCATTTCTGTATACCAACAATGAAATATCAGAAACAGAAATCAGGGGAAAAAATTCCATTTGATATAGCAATAAGAAAAATAAAATACCTAGGAATAAATCTAACCAAGGAAGTAAAAGACCTGTACTCAGAAAACTACATAACACTGAAGAAAGAAATTAAGGAAGACACAAACAAATGGAAACATATACCATGTTCATGGATTGGAAGAATTAACATCATCAAAATGTCCATATTACCCAAAGCAATTTATAGATTCAATGCAATGCCTATTAAAGTACCAATGGCATACTTCACAGATATAGAACAAACACTGAGTTCTTTCTTTCTCTCTGCACCCCCCCTCCAGGCATCCAAGTTCCATCACCACTCAGGTTCAGGTGAGACAGAAACTAATCTCTTTGGAAACCCCCTAAAAAGCAGGAACATTTGATGTACATTCTACTGCTCCTCTTTCCAATGAGAGAAGGTGTAAGTTGGGCTTTCCTCCTGAACACAAGCTATACCAATTTTGTGGAGGGGCTGACATAGTCAAAGTGAAATTAAAGGGCTGCTTAAACCCATTTCAACTTGCCAGTTCTTAGCTTTAAGCTTGCCTGAGTATAACTTTTTACTGGTTCCTTGGCCATATATTGTTGTTACATCAGCCCCTCTGTGGGAGAACAGGGTCTGAAGCTATCTATTCTGATATCTTGCCAATGTCATTCTCCACCAAATTTTTATAGAGTATTTTTCAATTATTTTTCTCTCAACCTTACTGTACTCTTTTATGTGAAGTGAATATATTATAAATAGCATAGAGTAGGGTCATAATTTTTAATCCACTCTGCCAATCTGTGAATTTAAATTGGAGTATTTACAGTATTTACACTTAACCATTGATGTGTTAGGGCTTTAGTCTGTCATTTTTTTTCTTTCCTGTTTTGCCCTGCCTACGTATGGGTTAACTGAATTATTTTAGTACATCTATTTCAATGTGCATTTTTTAAGTGTATCTGTTTGCATTGGGCTTTTAAAAAATGGTTGCTTGAAGTATAACAATTTGTCACAGTCTACTGGTGCCATCACACTACCATTTTGAGGAAAGTATAAAAACATTACCTCCCTTTACATTACCTTATCTTTTCCCTTTTATATTGTCTAAATATTCCCCCTAGATGTAAATAAAACCACACCTGACAATGTAACTATAATATTTTACTTAACCATCAAATATAATTTTAAAAACTCAAGAGAAGAAAAGCCTATTGCATTTACCCACCAAATATATTTTTAAAAACTCAAAGCTGATTGTATTTACCCACATTTTTGCTACTGTGTTTTTCCTTCCCTCTTGATATTCCAAGGTTCCTTCTTTTATCATTTGCTGTATGTTTAGAGAACTTACTCTAGCCACTCTTTTAAGGTAGGTCTGATGCTGACAAAATTCTTTGTTTCTTTCTTCTGCAGATGTGTTGATTTTTCCTTAATTCCCAAATATTTTTGCTGGGTATAGCATTCTGGGTTGCCAGTTCTTTTCTGGCAACACTTGAAAAGTCTTTTCCATTTGTCCTCCACAGTTTCTAATGAGAAATTCACCATCATTCACATTTGTTTTGCCCTATAGGTAAGGCATCACTTCTCTCTTGCTATTTTCATTTTTTTTTCTTGGTGTTTAGTGTTCAGAGGTTTGACTATGATGTGACTCATATGGATTTCTTGTGGTTCATTCAGTTTCTGGAATCTATAGGTTGACATTTTCTGCCAAATTTGGAGAGTTTTCAGGTATTATTTCCTGATATACTTTTTTCAGCCCTATTCTTTTTCTTTTCTCTTTATTCACTGGATTTCCACGGACACAAAAGGTAGAGGGTATATGGCTCATCACTGTTTGGCTGTCATGGAAATTTTTCTCCCCACAGGATCTCCTTCGACACCACAGGTGATGGGTTTCATCAGCATCCAGCAGAGTTAAAAGTCCCAGCTTCTTATTCAGCCTTTGTTTAGAGTCAGAAAATGATACTCTTCTCAGGAGGAAGTTGAGGCACCTTTTTCATAGACCACTGAAGGTAAACATCTAGGGTCCTCAATCTGCCTTTGTTTGAGTGGCTGGGGTAGGACAATAGTTTTTTTTTTCCTCTGGTAGTTAGCTAGAGAGATTATTTTCTAAAAGTTTTCTGTCTTGATAGGCTATCCTTTTTCATGCCCTTTAGCTACAGAGGACTAACTTTTGTTTGTGTTTTATTTGTTTGTTTGTACCCATTGACAGATCCAGGTTGCCAGCTTCTTCAGCTCTAATTCTGGGATATATGAGACAAACCAACCAACCAAACAAACAAACAAACAACCAAACAAACAAATAAACAAATAAAAACACCCAAAACAAGAAACTTGCCACCACGTTATTCCATGGGACCTGGGGGCCTCGCCAGTATGACTTCTCCTCATCTTTTCCAGTCATCTTATGCTTGTTTAATTTAATACTATTTAGGGTTTTTAGTTGTATTCAGTGGGAAAAATAGGGAAAACTTCTTCTAGTATATTGTCTCATAAGCAGACTAACTTATTATCTTTTAAATCTCACCTTTATCTATTGGTATGTCTCTATTTTTATTCCTACTATTAGAGTAGGCTGCTACAGAAAGCAGTGACTTTTCTGGTGCTGTAAGTTTTGAAGTATACTTTAAATAACCACCTGATATAACAGTCATTTGGCAGGAATTAAGAGATGTTGGTAAGGGACTTCCTTAGGCTAATAATCTATGATTTTCACAGGAATTCTTCCTTGACTAGTCTCTTATGATTTTTCATACTTTGACTTTCTCCCACTGTTATAATGTACATTTAATTATTTTTGTTATATGTCTAAGTTCTCAGTAGTTTGATTCTATCTTCCACCAGGGTTATAATCTTTGCACAAAATTTGTATCTTATTTTTATTGTTAACACTATTAGAGATGCCCCCCATCACCCTCAACTTTGTCCACCTCCACCAAGATTCCACCCTCCCCTCCCTGTGGCCTTCACCACACTGTTGTCTGTATCCACAAACTATGCATGTATGTGTCTTACATTTTTACTTTTACTTAAACTGTCAGTCTGCCTAGAGCATAATTATGAGAAATCGTAAAAGCTCAATAAAATATTTTTGATGATGAATTGATAAATTTAAAAGATACTTCCCACTTACCCAGTAATAATAATTTCTGGATATGTTTGTGTTCCAAGGTTCCAAGCTCCTCCAGTGATTGGCCACTCCTAAATATATTATACAGGAACAGTTTATAAGTTTATTTTTAATTTTAAATAACTTAAAAATGTAAAGTGACAATATTTTTAAATGGTGAAAGATTTTCTTAGAACTCAATAGCTGTAAAGTAGTGGAGGATAAAGTATGTAGCCATCTTTTAATTCTTTCATTCAGCAAAATATTCCAAATGTATAATTCCATCATCTTTAAAAACACTGATATTAACAAAGATTACCATTCATATTAAAAAGTCAAAGAAATATTTTCAATGATACAAATACAATGTTGCTACATTTGCCATATGATCTATGTATTACCAAACTACTGTGGTGCCATTTAACACAGAATACTATGTTAATTGTGCCCCCACCTCCACCCCCAGAGTTATTCATCCCAATAGTCCTGTACAAATAACAGAAATCATAATAGGTGGTCTAATACAATTGTAAGTATTTGAATCCTATAGTAAGTACAATAAAATGGAATTCTAGAAAGTTATTTAATAAATGACTTTTGATGATTGTCTTATTAAACATTGATTGATAAGAAATGACTAGAGTTGACTTGGATTTATTAAAATATAATCCTTCATCCAAAATAGTTAAAAGTTACATTTTATAATTCAAATTTGTTACTTTAAATGTATTCTTAGTATAAAAATATATGTGATAGATAAGTATACCAGTATATAATATGTACATATTATATAAAAAATTTCTATAGGTTTTAAGCTATGTACCATTTAGGAAATTTGAATTCCAGAGGTTATGTTTTTTATTGATTCCAGCTTTTGATTTCAAAAAAGAATTTAGTTTAAGTATTCTTCTACAGAAAGTATGAAAATAGTATGACAAAAATGTGTAATCACATGATATGAATATGAATCTAACACAATTTATTTTTAACTGCTACTTTTACCTTATTACTGTATCCTTGTTTTTTATGCTTAACTCCTGTAGCATAGAGTACTAGAATCAAATCTGGAGGGCAGTCGGCAAAGTATGCTGTGCAAGTAACTGGTGATTCATGAATGTCCATGGGATATGGATTTTCAAAGATTGGAAAACTAATAGATAAATACAATATATTAGGTTCATTTTGCAATGATAAAAAATAAAATAACCTATAAAGCAAATCCCAAACCTTCTATATATTAATTATACATTCACTTAATTGTTTTTATGCACCATAAGAGTCATATAAAGTACTTATCTATAAAATACAATATGAATATTGGTAGAATTTTACTTGTATAAGTAAATTTTTTCTATAATTCAAAAATTCTACAATGATACCACTTTAATCTAAATATTTATATAACATACTATAAGTATTAAAATATCTTAGTAAATTTTTCCATGGGGAGATAATATATAAGTAAATGTTTTTTTTTTTCTGCAGGAGTAATTTAAAGATGCATGTGATTATACCATGCTTGAGATAATTTCCTATGTAAACTAGAGAATGTAGAAGGCATGCAGAATTACTGATGCAGTAAATTTCATATCCTCAAGCCTACCATAATTTTAAACAGGCATATAAGTATAGAACCAAATTAATAATACTTATACCCACAATAAATTGTGTAGTTCTTACTTACCAGATGTACCAGGCACTAAAGAAATAGAATATTACCTTATGTCCTATCTGTTCCAGGTTTGTGTGATCATGTTACTCCTGATACAATGTATGCTTTTGGGGGTGGGTGGAGAGGGGCTATTAAAAATAATTTCCTTCCTATACTGTTAGGAATTTAATGAATAATTTAGTCCAATCTTCAGAGTATGGTATATGTGAGTGTGTGTATGCTACAAATGGTTTCCCAAATAGGAATAGTAGTATATGCAAAATCAGGTGGGAAGAACAAAGTTGTGTTTAAAAAATGCCAAGTACATAAAAATGGATGGATTAGAAGTCCCCTGTTTCAGGGCAGAAATTATCAACATTTCTTAGATTGAAGAATTAGAAGTAAAATAAATGTATCAGGTTAAAAACCAGATCTATAATTTGGAATTTGATAATAGCAAGTGGTGGCAATGATAGACTCCAGACAAGGTGTGACACAAGTGGTTGACACAGGTAAACAATATAGCAAAAGTGCTTGGAGAAAGATATTTTAGTATATTGGCAAAGACTATGGAAAATATACTTTAAAAAGAAATATTGGCTAAAAATTTATTATAGGAATTTATATGTAAAAGTGTAAACTGGTTGCTATGGAAATATAAATCCAAGAAACCAAGAAAAGAAGAAATTGTAAGCCCTAATGCTTGCTTTTATGTAGAGGATTGAATGGGGGAGAAGGAAGGAAGGAACTTGAAAAGGAATCCAGAGGTTCTAGTCAAGATGATGGAAAAGGTAGAAGCTGTAATCATCTCCTCCCACTACCACATAAAAATTATAACTAAATTATAGGACAATCAACTTGAATAACCATCTGAAGACTGGCTTAACAGAAGTTCTGTAACTTTAGATATTCAGAAAAGACACATAGAAGCAGGTAGAATGGGTGGAGACACATAACGAACTGGCCCCACTCATAAATGTGGCAATGGATAATCCAGAGGGATATTTCAGTTGCAAAGGTTTCCCCTGAAGAGTGAGAGGTTTTAGCCCCTACTAAGCCTGGAACACCAATGCTAGGAAGAAGAGCCCACAGAACATTTGGCAATGAAAATCAGTAAGGCTTCCATTTGTCTGCATGAGACAGGAAGGAGACTGTTGGAAACCCATGTATCACCTTAAAGGGATAACACACTAACTCTCACTCACAGGAACTCAACGGTGAACTCAGGTAGAGGGACAAGAGCTTTAAGGGCCCCAGAGTCATACATGGAGAGACTGAGTTGTGTGGTTTTGGGGTGAGGGCTGAAGAAACAGTTGCCAATGTCCCTGTGTTGAGTCTTCCTTCAGCATGTCCCATGGGTACCATGGGACTGAGCTGGGCCTTCCCCCCACATGGCATTAGCCTGATGAACTACATTAGCTCCACCCTGATGACTCTCTGAAACCCTGACCTATCCAACTCACACACAGCCTGAGGCCCTCATCAGTGGCAACCAGCCTGGGCCTGCATTTTGATCTGTCTTAAAAAACTCTTGACCACCTGTCTTCACTTAGCATAACGCTCTCCAGGCCCATCCATACTGTCGCAAAAGGTAGGAGTTCCTTCTTTCTTTCTGCTGTATTCCATCATGTAAATGTACCACAGTTTTTTATCCATTCATTCACTGATGGGCACTTAGGTTGCCTCCAGCACTTGGCTATTATAAATCATGCTGCTATGAACATTGGGGTGCATAGGTTCTTTTGAATTGGTGTTTCAGGGTTAACCAGAGAGGAGGAGGAAGGAGGATAATGGGGGAAAGAAGGGGAAGAGTCATCAAGGAACATGTATAAAGGACTCATGAACAAACCAAAGGCAGGTAGGATTGGAGGTAGAAGGTGGGGGTTGGTGGGGCAAGGGAAACAGGTGGGGGGGGGATGGAGACAAATGTATTTGAACAATGATTAAAAAAAATAAAAACTCTTGAGGATTTTTAGTTAAGCTCAGAGAGTGCCAGAGATACAAATGGTGAAACTGAATTGTGTGTCTTCAGGGTGAGGGGCAGCTTCCTACACTGCCAATAGGTGCCACAGTTCCTGTGTTAATCCCTCCCCTTACACATCCAAATCTTAATCTGTATTATACTGGTAAATTCTATTAGCTCTACCCTGTCAACTCCCTAAGACACTATTTCACTTCAAAGGTCTATAGGCCCCAGGTGGTGGCAGCTAGCCTCATTGTACCCTGAGACTTTGGCTGAATGGACTCAGACCCAGCACTGGTACCAAGTTTGAATTTGTATTAACCTGGTGAATACCACTTGCTGCACATGGGTGTCTCCCTGAGACCCTCATGCAAGTCATGCACCACTGAGGTTCTTTCAGTGGTTGACATGCAGGCAGCTGGCTGGTCTTAGGTTGCCTTGGCCCTTTTACTGATTTGCCCCAGCCCTGGTACTGGTGGCTGTTGACCTCAGCGTGCAGCTTGGCCCCTCCCACACCCTTCCAGTTCTAGCAAAGGCAGCTACTATCTTGGATCATACTGTAGTTCCCAACACAAAGTCCCAGGCCAGTACCAGGCAGTGTTTAACATTGACCTGTGCTAGAGTCACTCTAAAGAAGCTAAAGTACAAATACACCAAGTGGGTGGCCTCAGACCACAAAAGAGCACCAAATGATTGGTTCCACAAGAGGCACCCCAAAAAAGAGGTCTTGGCAGGCACCAGTCCCAGCTGGAGAAAATTCTAATTCATGGTGTCAGCACCTACATAGGACCTCATATATTATGGCCTTGGCTACTACTCACAGCCAGCCAGCCTGAGGGTAAACCCCACACATGATGAGCCAATAGCAATCAACACTCAACTACAACAAAAGGGAACATATAACTGACACAAGGGACACTCCTGGAGCAGGTGGATCAGGTGATCAAGAAAATTGTGCCACTGGGCCCCACAGGACACCTACTACATAAAGCCACCACACCATGATTGGGAAACATTGAAGGTCTGCTTAACATAGAAACACAGAGTGGCATCCAAAATTGGGAGAAAAAGAAACATGTCCCAAATAAAAGAACAGGAAAATTCTACAGAAAATGAACTAAATAAAATGGAGTCAAGCTCACAACAGTGATTATAAGGATTGTCAAGAAAGTAAGAACTTCAACAAAAAGATAGCAAGCATTAAAAAAAATGGAAACAAATAAAAAGAACCAGTCAGAAATGAAGAATACAGTAACTGAAGAATACAGTAGAAGGAATCAACAGCAGATTAGGTGAAGCACAAGAGGAATCAGATCTGGAAGATAAAGTAGCAAAAAACATAATCGCAGCAACAAAAATCTTTTTTAAATGAGGATAGTTTGAGGAACATCTGAGATAACATCAAATGTAACAACATTTACATCATAGGAATATCAAGAGATGAAAAGAGAGAGCAAGGGATTGAGACCCTAATTTGAAGAAATAATAACTGAAAACTTCCTTAACCAAGTAAAGGAAAAAGAACCAAAATCCAGAAAGTAGAGAGTCTCAAAGAAGATGAACCCAAAAAGGCCTACAGCAAGACACATCATAATTAAAATGGTAAGAGTTAAAGACAAATTAAGAATCTTAAAAACAGCAAGAGAACAGCTACTTAATACAAAGAAACTCCCATAAGACAGTGAGCAGGTTTCTCGACAGAAACTTTTCATGTCAGAAGGCATTGGCACAAAATATTCAAAGTGATGAAAAGCAAGGACCTACAACCAAGACTACTCTATCCAGCAAGGCTATGATTTAAAATGGAAAGAGATAAAGCTTCCTAGAAATGAAAAAGCTAAAAATATTCATCACCACCAAAGCAGTAAAAGAAATGTTGAGTACTTCTTTAGGAAAAATAAAAAATATTTTATACACCAATAATGAGCTATCAGAAAAAGAAATCAAGAAAACAATCCCATTTACAACTGCATCAAAAAAATTAAAAGACCTAGAATAAATTTAACCAAGGATGTAAAACATCTGTACTGGGTAAATTATAAGGCACTGAAAAATGAACTGAAGAAGACACAAAAAAGTGGAAGCATATACTATGCTCATGGATAGGAAGAATTAACATCATTAAAATGTCCATACTACCAAAAGCAATCTACACAGTCAACAAAATTCATATCAAGATATGAATAACATTTTTCACACGACTAGAACAAATATTTCAAAAATGTACATGGGACCACAAAAGACCCAAATAGGCGCAGCAATCTTGTAAAAGAAGAACAAAGTTGGAGACATCATATTACCTGATATCAGACTATACCTACAAAGCCATAGTAATCAAAACAGTATGGTACTGGCATAAGAGCAGGCATACAGATCAATGGAAAAAAATAGAGAGCTCAGATATAAACACATGCCTACATGGTTAATTAATGTATGACAAAGAAGACAAAAACATACAGTGGGGTAAAGACAGTCTATTCAATAAATGGTATTGGGAATACCAGACAGATATACACAAAATTGAAACTAGACTACC